GGTAGTCGGTCTGTGGGGATGAACTAAATTCCGTCATCTGGAATAACAGGAAGCATCTTTTCTTTATTACGCAGACGCTGAATGCTCATATAACTGAGTTTTGTTGTTACGGTCTCTTTGTTTTTGGTATGTTGGCTGAGAATCGTGAGCATCGCCAGAATAATCAGACGATTTTTGAATAGGGTGGTCCAGAGAAAATCAGAAAAATTGTGTAAAAATTCCTACTTAAGCACGGTAACAGCGAGTGCTTAGCAACCGTAGTATGGATGAAGACGTAGCTGGAGAGCAGTGAGGTAAAAGTAGTTATGAAGAATAAGTTGGATGATGTTTCTGCACACAGATGCACAGGGACGCTCCCAGGAGATGATTTACATACTAACTCCATCAAACTGAATCCAGCTGCTCCTTTGTCACGTGTCACCACAGCAGGAAGCTCCAAATGTGATGTGTCCTGTCCTTACAACATCCACCAATGGATTTGTGTCTGCAGCTGGAATCAAACCAGTGACCTTTTGCTTGCCAAGTGAACGCTTGAACCACGACATTATGGAGCCACAAAAAGAGTACAATATTAATCTTCTAAAGTATCGAGTGATTAAACTTTCTAAAGTTTCTAAATTCCAGTATTTATTTAGTACATTGTTCAGTTAAACAAATCCTTTTACTCTGTTTCCATGAGAATAAACACAGACCAAAGATTTTTTTTGGATGTGTGTCACTGGGCCGAGGCCTCCAGCTGCTGGAGGGGGGTGCTCCTGGATTCAGCATCCAAAAACACCTGGTAGGCCAACTGGGGGCATCCATTAAATGGGGTGGGTGCAAGCTGGCTGGGCTGTTTGTTTCTCCTGTTCTCTCTCTTTCAGGTGGATTCGTTAGCCTGGCTGCAGTCGGTCTCAGCCTCTGGGTGGAGCATTCTTACCTGGCCTGCCTCGCACACCTGTGAGTCATCTGTTTCTTTCATTTAAGACTGCTGTGTAAGTCTGGGCGAGAGGTGGGGTACACCTTGGACAGGTCACCAGTCTGCAGGGCTAACACAGCGAGACAGGCTACCTCTGTAGCTCAGGTGGTAGAACAGGTTACCTGCTAACTGGAAGGCTGGTGGTTCAATCCCTGTCTGCTCAAGTCTGCATGTGAATAAACCACAAGACTTCTGTAGCAATGTGCTTCGGACAGATGAGGTCAAACTTAATGTAACCTGTAACGGTGGTTGGACGTGTGGTGATCTGAGCTTGTTTTGCAGCCACAAGTCAAAGCAAGCTTAACGTGCCCGGGGAATCTTTGCATTTACTGGCTTCACGCTAACATCAGCCGTCAGGATAAGAATCACATGATCCAACTCACCAACCCAGCGTTTCCTGATCTACGTACAAGCTTGTTCACGTGAAAGGAGAATGAAAGTAGTCCAGCTGCTGCAGATAAAGTAGTGATGTGAGACTGAGAAGAGTCATTATATTCATCAAGTTAAATAAAAACCGACCGCGCTGATCTGTTCTCATCGACTAGTCCATTAATTTAATGTTTATATTTGCATTAGACTGTTTTAATTGAGTTCCATTGTATTTATGCAGCACCAAATCATAACAGCAGTCACCTCAGTTTTTATTCTTGGAAAGCTGCAGCCCCGATGTTTCATAGTCTGAGAGCAAGTAAAGCACGGAAACAAAACCAGAGTTCAAACACAGGCATAGCCTACCTGTACAGTACAAACAGGTGTGCTGGTTTATATGTTAATGCTTATAGAACAACAAAACTGTTTGCAGTGAAAAGTGGAAAAAAGTCAAGTCATGTGTTGTTACCTAGGACCAGATGTTGGTATGCCCCAGTAAGAACAGAACCACCTTTGTAGTGCAGAAAATCCAGTTTTAACCCCAAAGTTACCTGGATAAGATGAAATTGTGCTTTTAGTGCAGGCTGCAGCCAAAACCAGTGGTTGACGTGGCTGTGTCCATCATTCATTTACAGTCACAATCCAGCAGTTGTAAGCAGCAGATCAGTTAAACCTTCCTTTTCCCAAGTCTGCAGTTGATCCCTTTATGTTTGGTTCACTCCAGCAGATTCAATGTAGCACTAAAATGTTGGATGTTATCTAGTTCATTCACATTAAAGCCAAGAGAACCCCAGTGCAAGAACAGGAGACACAAACTGAACCTCAGGGGTCACAAGCTAGACCCAGTGCCAGGCCCAAGCTTGGGTTTATGGGAGGCTTATGTCAGGAATAGCATCCAATGGAAAATC